GTTGCACAGATGGCAACCGTGTAATGGATGTTGAAATGCTTGTGCTGGTCAATGACTTTGTACTAGATAATTAAGGTAAGGTAGTTGTGACCATGCATTGTTTTAATTACTAATATATGGCCATGCAATTACAGCATTCTCATACCGGTCTGTTTTGTTTAGAGCTCTGTGTGGTGATGATTGTCAGAGCAAGCAGTGGACAAGTCTAGTGAGACAATTACAACCATTGGTCAATATTAAGGTGGTATGCTTCTTGCAAGTTTTTGACATGTGCGCTTATTTAAGCACATACTGTAAAGGGGGTAATTATTCACTGGGTTTTAATTTTACTTATTTCGCTGACTGGAAAATGCGCTAAATTAAAACCCAGTGAATATGTTAAATTTAGCATAGAACACATTATCTAAATGATAAAACGTGAATTTAAAACCCACTGAATAAGTCTGAAATGGTAAATCAGTGAAATTTAAACCCATTAGTCAAAATTAGTCATTTTACAGTATATAGCCATGGCAATATTTTTGTGAAAATCTGTCTACAATTATTCGTTTTAGTATTAGTATTTTGGGAAAAACGGTAAAGTAATATGCAGAAAATGTCATTTTAGCAGCTGCTTCCATAGACCGTAGTGAATACACATTTCTTCATTAAAGACCCACTAAAAGTATTGTCAATTTTGTAATACTTTTAAATATTGAAAAGTACATTGTAAGACACTGCAAAATTTTTGAGATCTATCCATGAATCTTTGCTGTACATTTGTCAAAACTTAGGGATATTTCCAAAAGTGACCTGGAAAAGATGTATTAATTCTACTCAAAGTAAAGTTGAAAATAACAAATAATTGTGAAACCAAACTTGCGTAAATTGGCAGTACAAAATCACTTATCAGTTAGAAATCAGCCACTATAAACTTTATCAGTTATCTTGGGAGTCGGAAGTTGACTCATAGTTTACCATGACGAATGTTTGAACTAGCCAAGTGTATGGTTACAATGTATCTTGTTTTTTTGTCATTGCACAACTTAAGAAGCAGTGTTGCAATGCATCGCGTATCTCTAAAAATACCCGCCAGAAGCTGACCATAACCATATTTTGTACTTCTGTTATAAGCTAGCTTACACAGACAGTTTCAAAGTTCAAAGTTCAAAGTTTCAACAAAATATATTACCAAACAGATTAAACTTATATTCTTCCGAAAAAAAGGACGTTAACCTACATTATAATATTTGCATATATCTATATCTCCTTGTGTGATTTATTACTTAGATACCGTGTTGAAAAATAAACAAAGGTAGACACATCATTGGTTTAATTTAAACCATAACGTCACCTGGATTGTTAAATTCCGTCATCATTTTTATTCATGCAGTTATACATTTGTGTCCTTATTTGGTCTTGAGATACTTGATTAGTATTCTGCTGAGGTTGTACGTCGACACGCTCTGTGGAGGTATGAATATTTCGTCAATCGAAAAGTTGTGATATTTTAAATTATCTCGGGTTTGTGATAGGACAGGCAATATATTTGTGAGTATGTCTATGTGAGTGTGTGTGCGTGTTAGCTTCTGTTAAGTATGTATCACTGTTGTGATATGATGTTCAGCATTTGTGTTATCGGTTTCATGTAAAATATAACATTGTGTAAAATTTATTGTTCGTACTGTATGGCAACTGTGGTGCTTTTATTGACTGACTTAACTAATTATTAATTATTAAAAGTTTTAATATTTTGATTTTGGAAACAATTTGTTCTTATTTCAATTGAAATTTTAATAAGAATAAATGAACATTACATTGCTATGTACAATTCAGAAATAATAAACAAAACCATATGCTATTCCACCATAAAATACTGGACTGTACTTTGATTGATTAAATAGTGGTGTCATTGCATTATTTAATATGTGGAATTAATTTTAAGAAGAAAAAAAACGCATAAATTTATTCCAGATTTTTGTTTACACTTTTAAGAGGGAAGTTCCCATCATTCTGCTGTACGTATTCTACTTGTTCGTGACGAGCTGGTGATTGGGTTGCCACTAGAATCAAACCTACGATACTCCATGTATGCTAGATGACAAACACTATGCTATCCATCTACATTTTTTTTGAGAATCTGATGTGGTCAAAATAAGTATTTACAAAAATTCTGGCCAGGATCGTATATTATAAACTGCTGGGTTGAAGAATATCTTACTCTTAAAATAAAAGCCTACTCATATAATAAAATATCCAGACTTTATCCATTTTACAATAAAGGGTTCTTCCATCTAAACAACTTGTTTTTTAAGAAAATGATGGTTGTATTTCAGTGAATGCTGGCTATTTATTGCCATATAAATGCTTTCACAATTATTCCTATGGTGGGGGGATCAATACATCATGACTGACTGGCTACTTTTTGTTATTCTGAATTGATTCTTAAAAAATCTAGGTTTTTAGTGATAAACAATCCTATTTTGTTTTATTACATCCTGTGCAATGATATAAATCCTTTGAATAATATTTAGCCACTTTTGCAAAATATGCAGTACTGGTACACATTAAACAAATGCTGCTAAAAAATATTACCATGGACTACTTATTTTATTTCCCCATGACTGTAATTAATTAAACAATGAACATTGCCATGGCGATTTATGACAACCAGTAATTTACTCAAAACAAATATGAAGGTGAAGACTTTATTTCATATTTCGTTTTCATCCTTTTTCATACCTGTATCATTTAAACCATGGGTGTTTGTTTGGCTTTATTTACATCACTCGTATGGTATACCTTATCTATGAGTAAATTGTCTTATGCACTATATTGTTTATACCATAGGTGATTATTGTTCTTGACTATTAAAATAAGAATTATGGCTGATAACCGTGGTTTTGATGGAGATGAACCTGCTGATTTGCCAAGTAGCTCAAAGTCAGACAAAGCAGAAAAGAGTTCACAGCAAAATGGTAAGAAATGCTCAGTAAGCACAATTGAAGGGTTATATGCATTTTCTGCACATACATACAAACAAAAAGATATATTCAAGACATTGTAGTACTGTTTTATTGAACATGCAGCTGTTGGCAAGGTAAATATGTACCAATATGCTATTAATGTGATTCCATATCTGTATTCATTCTGACCTTTGTAGGATTCAATAACTCATCAATTTTCGATAACAAAAAAACTAACAAAGTGGACATCGACAATACGAGTATTAAGTCATCCGAAAAGTAAGTAAATGCATCAAGAACAGTCTTTACAGGAATTATAATAGTTTCTTAATTCAGCATTTAATACCTTATAGCATCACTTTAAGCATCACCTTAAGCATCACCTTATTCTACCTAGAATGTTGTGCTGAAACTGTGCTGATTTCATAAAAACACAAGTATTGAAAGACTTGCCACTGATGGCGCTATACTGAGTAATGTGTTGTTACTGCACTGTATTCGCTAAGCTATTTTCAAATAAGTGTTGACTATCATGTAAGCACATACACATACACTCCCTGATTCACAGTCCATACCTTCTTGCCTTCTCTTTTGAATATGCTGTCAACAACGAGCTATTATTTTACTGATTGTGCCATGACCATACAAAATGTACTTTCTTGGTTAATTGCATTATCTGCTAAACTTAACTTGAACTGTAAATTGAAATCTGTAGCTATGGCATTTGATTTATGCATAATTTATTTTTTTATCTGGACACCTAAAACTCCCATCATGCAATGCAGTTTCATATCCTACTTGGTACAACGAGGAAGTACAAAATGTTTCATGTTCCTAATTTGCTTTGACACATGGCAAAATATCACGTTAAAGTGCGTTGGTCGTCGCGCAGCGCATGTTCGAATTTGATGTAAATAAACAATGTATTTTACTTGCGCTTTATACGTCGCTATGAGTCCCATATCGAACAGGACTCGGCACGACGACTACCACCCTTTAAAATATAGAAGGAAGGAATTACAATTCACAGCTACACTAGAAAATTGCAAACTATTCTATGAAGAATGAATGCTACACATCGAAGTTGGAGTGACTAGGTAGGCCATATTTGAATTGTCGGCTGGAAAGTCCCGCATCCGCTTGATCTTGACACCCTAAGATGCTGCAGATTCTCACCTTAATCTACAAAAATGTTTGGTAATGTTTGATTATTTTACATATATCTTCTGACCCTGAAAAAATAAATGTAAATAACATTTTATTTTCTATTGTAGAAATGACGATGATAAAGAATCCAAGGGAAAGAAAAACATGGTTTCTTTCTCAGATCTGGTGAGGGATATTAACATTTATTTATGAATTTTGTAATGTTTTTTGATTTCTGTGTTACATAGTTTGATTTATTACATTATATCGCATAGGATAATGTAAATTCTTGTACTGTGAGGGAAATTTCTTATATTAGAAACAGATTAAATGTTGTCTGTTACATTATTAATTCAAACATTTTAATTTTAAATCATAATTTTGTGATTGTTTTTAAAATTCCTAAAACTATCAACTGCCAACAGTCAGTGTAAAGCGATATGGAGTCTGATTCCTTACCATCATATCTTGCAATCTTGCAATCATGGTCAATGTCATCCCCATCTAAAACTTTCTTTGGGTGCAATACCACCTCACGTTATCAGCTCCCATGCGTGTCAAGCACACTTCTGAGCAGATTTTGATCAAATTTGATACTTTGGAGTGATGTGTGGTCATGATTACTTTTTGAGGCCATGTCTGTTCATATAGCTATTTGCATATTAATTATCTGATGTCAGATTTTGTAAAGTGAATATTAAAAGCCTCTGAACAGATTTTGGTAAAATTTTATAAATAGGTACCTTGGGATAATGATCAGACATGATTAGTTTTGGGGCAATTTCCATGCATAATAAGTAGCTAATTTACATATCAATTATCTCATTTCAGCCTGTGTAAGCAAAATCTCAAAAAGTTTCTAGCGGATTTAGATCAAATTTAGAACATGGGTATCCGGAGGTAATGTGCAAACATGATTAGTATTAGGGTCATGTTCATGCATATTAAATAGCTAATTTGCATACTCTCTCATTTCAGCCTGTGTAAGCAAAATCTCCTAACCCCTAATGTCATTGCTCCTTTGCTGACTGTTCTGAATTTTCATTTTCTAGATATTTTTTTATAAAACATCAATGATTGCATATACTTGTTATACACATGGGTGCCTGGCAGAGTTTAACTCTTATTTCTTTCTTAGTTCCGATTTGGTGATGGCAAAGATAAATTATTGCTGTCTTGTGGCATTTTGTTTGCCTTGTTAAATGGTGCAATGCTGCCACTTATGATTATAGCATTTGGTGGGATGACTGACACTTTTGTGCATCTAGGCGCTAATGCTACCTACAATGAATCTACTTACAATGAGGAGTAAGTGGTATTGATTTATTTGTTTTTACGCC